ATTGTGATTTGGGTGAAAGTTTACAGAGAAAAAATTCACTTTCCATATAGCAGCTCACATACACTTTGTCTCATGACATTGGCTACAATTTACTCCAATGCAACAGCTCCCCTCTCACTTCCTCCCCATAGTTACTTCTTCCCTGAGTCCTTCCCTCCATATACTCTCACCCCATGAGCTGTCTCCCTGTGCATACACAGACCTTCTATTCTCCCATGATTGTTCTCTCCAAGGAGTGTATCTACCTAATGTAAATGTTCAGCTCATATGCCTGCCTTTTGTTTGGCTGGAAGCCACAGGAATGGGTTCAATTCCAGACCTGAAGGGCAGCTAGGGGCCAAGTCTCAGTGGTTCCACCAGGCTCTATCAGACCAGCAAACCTGCCCCCCCCTTTTTTTCTCTCCGAATGATTTTGAGTTTTGTTCCACATTGTTCTCCCTTTCTATCAAGGATCTCCTACATAGATCCCCTTCCAAATGGATGACTGTGGTAGCCGGGCACCATCTAGTTCTTCTGGTCTCATAGTTGTATAGGCTGTAGATCGGATGGTGTACCAGTCGCTAGGACTCATTGTTTTCATGAATTTTTGTTTTCTTCATTCTCCTTTGCTCTGGACGAGGAGAGACCCATTGTTGCATCTAGATGGCAGCTTTCTTGCAAGCTTTTAAGATCCCAGTCTATACTCACCAAAGTAGGATGCGGAAGAGTATTTTGTGTTGTATGTTATATGCCAATTGAGCTTGATGTCCCTGTGACTATGGTGCCGAGCCCACAGGTGCAACTACTCACTCCCTCTGGGAGCTGGCTGTGGCCAAGAAGTGACTACAACCTTGTCCCTTGTCAGCTCTACTATACACCATTTGCTTGATATATCTTTTTCCAACATTTGATTTTTAGTCTATTTTTGTCTTTGTCTCTAAGGTGTATTTTGTAGACAGCATATTGGTGGATTATGTTTTCTTATCCAGTCTGCAACTCTCTCTCTTGAGTAGTGCATTTAATCCATTGACATTCAGTGTAATTATCAACAATTATGAATTTGTTGCTGTCATTTTGTTAATGTGTTTTTACATGGTGTTCCTTGTTTCTTTGTTCCATATTATTTTCTGTGCTGAGTTCATTTAGTTTATGAATCATGAGATCACTTACTTCCTTGCTATTGTTTTAGTATTTGCTAATTATTTGTGGTTGTCCTCTTTTTTATTGTGATGTGAAGGTTTATCATTTTTCTTTGAGGTTACCCTGTGATTTATAATTTTCTCCCCAAATTTGGAACAGTCTATTCTATCTTGCAACTCTCTTGACTTCCTCACCATTTAGAAGTTCTGTAACTGTAGTATGTTTCCCTCTCTTTGGTTTGTGGTTGTCCCTGTTTGCCAATTGATGTCTCTGGTTCCCTGTTTATGATCTTGTAAGCTTACTTTACTTTGGATCCTTCCATATCTGTGTTGGTTTCTGGGTTATGTCATCATGTGTATTAATGGTCAGTTTTTGTTTGCTATTATTGGTTCTCTGTTCAAAGGACTCCCTTTAGTGTTTCTTGTAAGGTTGGTCTGGTTTTTATAAATTCCTTTAATTTCTGCTTATATGGAAATCTCCTAATTTCACCATCATATTTGAGGGACAATTTTGCTGGGTATATAATTCTTGGTTGGAAATTTTTCTCTTTCAAGGTTTTATATATACGCTCCCATGGCCTTCTTGCTTGCATGGTTTCCTGCTGAGAAATCAGAG